CTTTTTTCAGGGTAATTTAATGTTATGCATGTATTAAAGGGCTTCTATTAAACGGTCTGTAAACCTCTACTAGAGACTTACTGTATATGACATACTGTAGCTAAGTTCCCTGGTAATTTAACTAAATTACAACATTCCACATTGCAGTAAATTTATTTTTAGGTTGTTATCTTAATTTGTTGAGTTACCAAGCAAATCTGGCCTGATGGCATTTAAGAAGTGTCTATGTTTTCATGTTGAAACCACAATCTTTTTGATAGATGCTGTAGAATCACTCAAAGCAACATTTAATGCTACTGTATTAGTCAACAAAAATAAATATGTTTCTTTTAACTAGAAAAATGTAACAGGAATGTATCTGGATTGCTCGTAATACTATGTTACATAAATTGTTCCTTACTGATCTTTGGTCATTCAATATTTATAATAAATTAATTAGATAACTAATAACATAACATATAAAACAGCATATAACATGTCACTTTCCAATTTTGAAAAAATGTGCAATATACACATAGATTACAGATATTTTTTCTGTAATATAAATACGCATATATGTTTTGAGTGTGTAGACAGCTTCATATTTTAAATGTTTGTTGTTTAGTATTTCTAACCATTCTATGCAAGCATTTTATGGTGCAATTAATAATTGAGAGTCTATAAAAACACACACAGTTCTGAATGCCTACATCTAATTAAAATATGAGTTAGCAGATTGTAGCTGTAATTTAACAACTGAATGTTTTATTTCAGTCCTCTTTTAGTTGTAATATTTAACAGTTAGAGATCATTAAACTTTTCTGAAATACAATTGAGTGAATGCCAGTGAGGATGAGACTTCCATGTGTTCACAAATTGTGCCTGAGGCTTGCAATGGGCTTGTGTGAATAATTTATCTTCTAGACTAAACCTGTCATTGTTTGAAATATTGCTGCTATCATTCTTCATGACAGAATAATGAAACATTAAAAAAGGCTACAGTGCAGTGCATTTTTAACCGTATTCAAGTTGCAAGAAATAAATTTATAAATACAATATGTGTGTGAATGTACAACTACAATGTGATGTTAGTCCAAGGCTGGATGAGTTCCACTAGGCAGTCCTGGAGAGCACACTAGTTTCAGTAGCCCATCTTTACATACTCTAGGCATTGTGGGCAACAGGGAATGTGATGATGTTGTGGTGTAAATCATCACAAAGTTTTTTTTTAGATGATATGATAATGGACCAGCCTGATGATTAAACTGGGAATCTGGAGCTTTTTTGAAGATATGATCATATGTTATTGGCTTACCAACATGATGAAGTTGTGGATTGAGAGTACATAAATTATCTGCAGTGTCAGAAAATTCCAGTGGTTCCCTGTCTAGTTCTGTTGTCCATTATGGCTATGATTAAGCCCTTTTGTGATGACTTTGACAGGTGAATGCAAACCTATTAACCACCACATGGATACTAGCAGCTGGAAACTCTTCCCATCCATAAATAGAACAGGATGCCCTGATATTCATTCACATACTTAAGCTACCTCTGAGGCAGCACTGTGCTTCATGTATTACCAGTAGCACATTTCACTTACAGTCCTGGATACTACCCTCAGTTCTTTTGAGACCATCCTTAGTAAGCAGGAATCAGTGCAATTAACATCTGTTGTGTCATTCATCGTCCAAATGTCAATTAATCATAAGCACAGTTGTACAGGATATATAAGCATATATACCACACTCACAAATATGTGGTAGGTTATTAAATTTATCTGAAATATACTGGCAATTGCATGTATGTTGGTGTTTATATAAGATGAAGCCAGTATGAGTCTACCAGAGTCTGCAGTATAATTAGACCAGAATTTAACTTTGTTTCTGTAGAGTACATGCAAGGTTACCTCTAGCAATACAATACCTATCTGTACAGACGGGTGAACTGTAGCTAGCCAGTGGAGAAAATTATTTTGCTTAAAGGTAAACAGCAGTGTTCAGAAGAGGGACTAACCTTTTAGTTACACTTCCAGAACCCTAACTACTACTCTTTTCACCATGTTTCGGCTGTGGAGTTTTCTTCAGGTGTGAGCTAGTGAGCTAGTGCGGGTGTGAGCTCACACCCAAAGAAGGCTCTACAGCCGAAACGTGTTTCCTTTCTTCTCTTTTCAGCATGGAATAAACCTATTATTTGTTTTCTTGGCAGCCTACGCATGCTGATGCAGCTACACACCTGAACTACACATACACTAGTCTTTCTCTAAAGCTTTACTAAATTATGTGATGAAATGGTTTCGATCAAATGAATAACAATAATGAATTACTAAATTGTAAAAATGGCATGAAGATGAGAGGTCCAAATTTTATTGAGCCTGTATAATGCTGTTGTAGATGGAAAACTAAACAAAGGTTGATCAATGAAGTGACTACTGTTTGTCAGCCCCTTTGAATTTGGACTAATTACACTTAATTACCTAACACACAACACTAGAGAAATTACTAGACATATTCAGGTTTACCTTTTTTTTCTTTTACTATTACATATAATCATACATATATGATTGTACTAGAAGATGTACTAGAATATGTAAATACATTTTGTAAAATATACTAGCAATTCTAGTACAGATTTTCTTGGCATTTATCATAGGCACAAGGCAAGTTATACCCTGATTGTGATGCTAGTCCATCACAGGGCATTTAACCTACCAGTAAAGTTTTGGACTGTGGGAGGAAACCAGAGCACATGGTAGAAACTCACATGAATAAGGGGAGAACCTACAAAGACAGCAATGCTAACAACTACATCACCATGCTGCCCAACTGCAAAAATAATTAAAAATAACATTAAGGGAGATTAGTATCCCTGTTGGGATTCTGTATCTTTTGTGACTTTTGGTGAGTAAAATGTGCAAGATAAGCTTTTATGTTTAAAGTTAAATGTATATGTCATTTTAAATGTCAGTGTAAGCAGTTCATCTGTCTTGGAAGCCCTGAATTAATGACATTTTATTTCAGGTACAAGAATCTTCCCACAAAGGCGTTTCAGTGATGGAGGCAAAATAAAGACCTTAAAATACATGCACGCCATGAAATACATTCACTATTGATGGCCTGAACGTGACTCTGCTGCATCATACAAAAGAACACAAGATGTAAAACTTTACCCAGATGATGGTCAGCGATGGCTGGATAAAATAAAATTACAACATAAAATGCTTTTTAAAGCTGTACAGGATGTGGCAATAAAGGGCTTAAATTAATGTTCAATTGAAAAGATTCTCGTATCTTCTGATCCCTGCATTGGATATAGCTGTGCTCCATAAGATATATCTGAAGGTTGTAATATATCAATTAGGCTTTTGGAAGGTTTCTAGCTCTCTGCAAACTAAAACATAACCCCCCTACCTCCAAAGCATGAATTGATACAAATCGTTTTTCCTCCAAACAATTGCCCAAATTCCTAGTTACCCTTCAGAAGGCTTCCTAACACATGCGCCTCGACAAAAAGGAACAGATATTTTCAATGATTCTTATGTGATATGTGAGAAATTAATAAACATTGTTATGTCTACATATTTTCTTGTCTTTCATTAATGAATCAGGTTAAATCATCTGTATTTTTTTTGTATTTTCTTATTAAATACCTAATATATTCTAATACAAAAATACATTTGCATGTTATTCATTATTATAATAATATTTTGTTATTAATAAAAATTTAACAATCATGTTTCAGAATGCATGGCTTTGTTTTTACATGTTTTTGTCCTACTTGTTTTTGTTGGGTTACACCTGCAGATATCACGTTAAAAAACTACTAACTGATTCCTTCTACTGACTACTGCAACTCCAACGTCTACTGACTACTTTCTTCACTTTTAATGAACTCCCACTTTATTTTGGGATCATTATAAAGTATATCTGAAGTAAACAATTCTATAAAAAGGATCTTCAAAACAAACAGATAAACCTTTGATTTTATGTGTTGGCAGCAAGCAGACAATCCTTTAAGAAACAGAGCTAAATTCAGGTAAAGAAGCATTGTGAGGGCTTCACTGGTATGATTATTCTGTGCTTTTAATTTTTTCTTTATACACTTTTGACACAATTGCAGGGGACATCTTGTCTTTTTGGCCATTGAGCTGATAATACAGCACCGTCTGTGCTTAACCAGTATTATTGTACTTGTAATCAACTGACTTCACTGTGAGGGAATTATTCTTAATTCCTTGTCTGATAAGTTTTTATATTTTAAACACTTGTATCTTGTAACTTTCCACTCCAATGGTTGTGAAAGTATGTAGTTCTGCTTTTGACTATATACGCTGAATTGTCAACATATGTTATGTTGCAAGGCATAATTGCTATATGTTCCTGGCAGAGTTACAAAAAACAATGAAGAACTTGCTTGACTGCTCTTCACGTGCACAGCCAAAGTCTAATCCCTCTTTTGGACAAGTTTGGCAGACTTTACTGTATAAAAAGAGCACTCTTTGTAATACTTCTTTGAGTCTGGCCTGCAAGAGCTAGGCTCCCATATGCATATGTAATAAAGAAGACTTCTACTACACAGACACCCGAAGTTCTGTCATTTGTTTGACACAACAACTGATAAGAAGTACAAAAAAAAACCAAAGCTGATATATTTTTGGTCAAACAGCAGCAAAAGTAAGAGATAAGCTTAAGAATTTCTATGATATGGTGTTTGCTTGTGTCTATCGGTTAGAAATGGCAACCCGACTTTTATTTACTTTATCTTACTTCTGATTTCACAAACAACCAGGTTAAAGAAATAGCATTCAGAGAACAATGATATCACTTACCTTTCAATCTAGAATGCTTAAAAAAGCAACAAAGCAATAATATCACCAATATTCTAATCATACGAATCATACCTGAAATAGAACACAAGTAATATGGAATATTGACCACATTTATTGCAAATTAATTGCGATAGCAGTAAAAAGGAAAAAAGAAATTCACTTAAACCCTTTTTACATTTGAAACATGGATCCTTACCAAATTCTCTTGGAACTGAAATGGCATACACACAACTGTGACCAATGGTGTAATTTCTTGGGTAGTTAGGTGATAATACTGTGCCCTCTGAACCTGTTGAACGACTCCCACAGGGGGCTACAAAAGCAAGGAAAAAAAAAAGAAAATTACTTCAGAAAACATTATATCTTAAACTTAAATTTGTATAAATAAGCATTGAAAATATCACTACTTTTGATTAAAATTATACTAGGAGACACAATATGCATAACAAAGAATCCAAACTCTTACACACTGCTGTTAACAAACTTAAGTTGTAATTCAAAGGAAAAGTTGCCAAAATTTTAGCCAACAGTCAGAGCTACTGAACTGTAAGCTACCTGATTTTAAAGTTAAGAGAGTTACAGAGGGCATAGTGTCCACTTTGTCTTTTTTCTTTCAATGTCCCAATTGCAAAAAATCAAATACAATTTTCAAGTCAGCCCTGTAGATATAGAATATGATATGAATAATCTTAAATTTTGGGATGTATGAAAGATATGCATCAGTGTTTACTGTGAATCTTAAAAAGATTACACTTGAATTTCATTTTTGTCCTTATATTTAACATTATGCAAACCCCAGTGAATGATGCAAAAAGGTGGTATTGTATACAAACCCCTTTCTCAGTAATCCGAATCATCAGCCACACTGAATGTGAAATTTCAAGGAAACCTCATTTGTCAAAAGGAAATTGACACCCAATCCCTGAGCATTGTATGGAATTGTACCACGGAAGACATTTTGCTGAAGGTATTGCAAGGTAGAGCACTGTATAGTAGCTGTGATATGAATGCACCAGCCATGTGATGAGACATACTGTACATACATTTACAGCACTTGGAAGGATACATATACATAGTAGCCTTTCTCAGAGGAACAGCAGAATAATATATTTTTTTAAACTGATAGACAAACTTGGAATTTTACCTTGGCATTCTGGCAGAGCTCTATTCCAACCAGGTCTGCCATCATCCCCCATGATGCATGTTAAGGTTGAATATCCTTGCAGTATATATCCTGGTTCACAGTAGTATGTAACTGTAGATCCCAGCTTGTAATCACTTCCAAGTTTTGTACCATTCATTACACTACCAGGATCAAAGCATGACTCCCGTAGCTTAGCTTAATAAAATAAGAGAATGTAATCTTTAAATGGAGTGTTAAATCCATGGTTTACAAAGTAGTTAGAAAACAATCACGGTGATTCATTTGCGTAATTAAAATGTTGCTTCAAATCAAATACAAGACAACACAAATACCATACAATACCGTACATATTTCCAGGAAATCTTTACATAGAGAAGTAAAATTATTGATATGTGCTTTACACTGTAGTTTTAAACAATTGTATTTGACAATTTATTTTAATTTACATTCACATTATAATTGTATTGAAATGTTTTCAGAAAAAAATGAATGCACATGAATTTGGCCTGAAACACCACAACACTCCAGGATATTTTCATTTTCTTCGTATAAATGGGTTTTGTTCCAACTGGGTTCTTAATATTTTCTTTTTTCACTGCTTTCTTGTTTAGAGTTTTTTTTCTGCACTCAGTCCTTGGTTTAAATAATACACTATTTACAATGTATTAATAATCATACTGTAGCTTTATGCAGTCATGCCTCAACTTGCTAATTAAAAATGTATTCTGACTAAACAAACTTAATAGGTAATCCAGTGATAATGAGAAGACTCAAGTGGGAATGACACTGTAACAGGCTTCCACAGTGAGTTTTTTCTTTCTCCAATTGGTTAAATTTTGGTGAAATACTAACACATCTTCATAAAGTGAGTCATCAAACTCACTAGTCATTACAAGCTTGACATCATTTACAAATACAATTTGGATTTAATAATTAAAAGTAAATTTAAAAATTAAAAAGACTCAACAAGAAAATTAAAATTAATTAGCATTTGATTAAAACTTATGATTAAGGGTTCAGTTAGAATAACCAACAAATTCAGGGATTCCCCAGGAAAGGAATTAAGAATCCCTGGTCTAAATGATGAATGTGAAGAATCAGTTTTAACACTTAATCCCAAATCTCACTTTTGCTACTGCATCTTACAGTAAGTATTGTCTGCCTTTCTAGCCAGTCATCAAAATCAGAAGAAACCCGTTTTACTAACTTTACTGGTACTCCTTACTGGTAAATACAGAAATATGTATTTTAAAAACACTTTCTTACAAACCAGAAAGCACTAAAATGCTGTTATTCAAGCTTCTAATAAATCTAAAAACACCTGCAAAAAGATTATACCCAAAGCATTACTTTTCCTACCTTTATATTCCAGATGAAAACCAGTATAGCTAACAGAACCATCACTTCGAAATGCTAAATGCACTGTGTTTGAACTGCTTTCAATTCTTTCAGGCAGCTTGCTGTCTTGAAAGCTACCAATTAGATGACTGTTGCTGTCTGGTCCATCATAGATATAAAGGAAATCATAGTTGGGCTCAATGCTGAAACTGGAAAAAAAACACAGATTCTTCTGAAGAAGGTAGAAAACTTTATACATTCTATACTGTTCATTTGTATAGTAATATTTCTATGTAACCTTCATCACTGTAAAACAACTACTGTATATTATTTCATACTCTCTAATTATCACATCACAAACCAAAATACAAAACCCTTTTTAATCATCTTTATCATATATACAAAATTCAACGATCAATTAAAATCATGCTAACATTTTAAAATGTAGTGTAGTATCACAAGTTCAAAATTAATACAATATTGGGATATGCAATGTGTTTTTAAATAGTACTAGAAACATAAATTGAATCCTCCTGTGATTTTAAATCTGGAGCAACAAAGCATACTGCAGCAACAAAGAACAAGAGCAAATTACATTTGAAATGTTATTCTCAAAAGCCTTCAACACTTTATGAGCCCAGCCACATAATATAATTATTCACTTTATAGTATGCATTCTGGTAAAGCAATGTCAAACCTATTGTACAGTAAAACAGCTATATGGAAACAAATCTTACTATTTTTAGAGCAAAAAGAGAATTCTGTGAATCACTGTCGTATTTTGCACTGTAAAGACTTAATTCTTTTTTTATCAAATTCCAATCAGAAACGGAAGGGAGATAAATGGTAAGAACTTGAATTGTATGTATTCAAGGAACAGTGTATTTAGATTAACATATACAACTTTTATATTTAATATATATTATTAGCATAATTCTGTATCCATTGAATAAGTACCATTCTCCTGTGATGGAATTTTATTTCTTATTATGAAAGAGTTCTTTCACCTAATTCTGGCTAACTTAAATCAAAGTGGTATCTACTGCTAATGGCAAACTAAAGATAAAAGAAAACCAAACATGGAAATACTCTATATTGCAAAAAAAATGTAATTAATTTTTGATAAGTATATGTGTGGGATATTTTTAGACTTATCCCAGAGAGCTGAAACTCAGCAAAAACATAGCTTTATGATAAGTGAATCAGTTCTAAACATATTGTACACAATTCTAATTTGCATTTCTCAAAAACCTCAGTTTTGCAAATCTTTTGCCCTTCAGATAAATAAAACATATTATATAAATATATTTTCTTGCGGTAGACATTTTATATAATGGAATAATGTTAGAAAATAAGCTGTGTAATAGAAATCACTGGAATGGAACCATTCTTTCATTAGGTTACTGTTTGAAAGATTATTTTATTGACAATGCTCAATTTTTTATCTTTCGAGAAAGGAGTCAGATTTGCATAGGAATGCAGTATCCATTTATCAAATACTCAAGCAAATATATTTCTACCATTTCTCACTAACTAAACTGATACAGGAAATTAAGAGTATAGCTTATTCACTTCCATCGGTATATTGGTTACAGATTTCAAAGTGGCTCAGATCAGTAAAGCTTCCACTTGTAGCATAGTAAGGACTCTACAGTATTGTTCAAATATAAATGCTTTGAATATTGGCTATTAGTGCTATGAATCTTGGCTATGGCATTGGCCAGCTGTAGTATGGTATTTTCTAATTAGCAACACCAACCTGACTAAATAAAGGGTTGCTTGGTTGGAAATTCAGTGCAGTATTGTTGACCTGGTCTGGAAAAGCAAGACTTTTTGCAGGAAAATCAGTGAGAGTTGTGTTAATCATCCAGTCTAAGTATTCTGAATGGGCTACCGGATTGAAAAATGTAAAGAATGCAAAGAGTAAAAGTGACATGCACCTACAATTTTCACCTCTCCTGAACTGGGGTGAGAGATATAATGGCGAGCTGAAATGACTAACTCTGGTTTGATTTCTCCAAAACTGGGACATATAAAAAGAAAAAAAAAATATTTTTTCAACTAATAGGTGATTCCAAATTAACTAAAACTGATATTACATAGATGAACAAGGGAAGTAGTCTAAGTCTAAAATCAGATTTCAGCCCATGACTGACAACATAATATTTTACAATACCAGTTACAGAACTACAAACAAATATTTTCCAAAAAAGCTACACCACCCCAAAACTTGAACTTGCTACCACAGTGGAATTAACGCAGCAGAGGGGCATGAAAATCTATATGAAAAACCTTCACTCTAATGATATTGGTGTTTACTGTAATCTTTATTGTTAGAATGCTATTAAAAAGGACCAGTATTTTCACTGAGACCATGGAACGATATCATACAGGCAACAGGAAATACAATCTGCAAAAATGTGCTTATCTTAACCTCTAGGTTACCACAGCACAGAAACACGTTTTTATAGTCCTTCATAGTTTTATAAAATTTTCATGAAAAATGGGTACAATTAACAAAACTGCTTCACTGTGAAACTCATTTATCAGGTTTCTTTATATCTTAATTAGTAACATCATTCAACATAAAATCCATCAGTTACACCTTAAAGGGGAGCTTAAAAAAGATACCACTTTGGTTCATTACTAATAACATGTTTGAAGAGTTTCAACAGGGCTAATTATCTTTCTTAAACATGAATTGCATTTTAATATATTACTGATAACAGCAAAGCACTGCATAATTACTTCATATACTTTAAATGATTAAGTCAAGATGTCTGTAATCCAAATTAATGTGGTGCTGGAAAACATAACGCTTTCTAATAATAAATGGGACTCGATTAGTGGGAAAAGACCTGAAACCCAAGTACTTATGCAGACTCCTTACCTGATAAATGCAAGAGATATAACATAGTCTGAATTTACAACAATTAACCAGTCACAGTCTTTGCTATGTGGGTAAGGATGTGGGTAGTTTGGTGACAGAATGAATCCTGAGGATCCTGTTAAATTACCCCCACATGGAGCTGAAAAGACAAGTATATATGCATATAATTAATTATAGATGTTAAAAAAACATATTTCATCACATGACATCATACATTTTATAAATATACTGAGACTTGAGGGCTTTCTTTGTATTTTATGAAAATCACTACAGAAAGTCATGCAATGCGTGTTTCTGTAAGAGGAGTGTGCCTGCATTTGAAAATGGGGAGAATAACCTATTTTAAAAACATAAATTATGCCAACTTGTAAGAGAAAACACTAGTGTATTTACAGATAATATTTCTAAAGCAACTGTCAATGCCAATGCATCAAAACAAGTATGTGGCTTTTAGTTAGTTGTTTTCTGAAGAGGCATCTCACTGATCAAAAAATACATTAGGTTGTGAGACAAGCTTTATTCAGCAAATTAATAAGCATGGCTGTGCTCCAGTTCAGAAAATCAAGAAGTACATGAAGTCAACAGGGTATGAATGGCAGTAATTTACAAAATACAGAAAATTGAGCTGGATAGATATATTATGTAATAATTTTAAAAACACAGGTGTATTACCTCAATCTTTTTTAAATGTACCTTACTATCTGAAAAGATAATCATCCCATTTTGGAAATATATAATTGAAAATGATTCAATTCGACATACATTCAACTGTTACAGCCATACAACAGAATAAAATCTTTCTAGTCAGTATTATGAATAGAAAATCAAAACAAAATTGCTTATGTACCAGATTTTGTTGTTTTGCATAACAGTCCTGAACTAGAAAAAAGACAAATGTGAAGGCTATTTCAATAAGACAGAAAAAACATGTAGTAGTGGTTAGGAATCCAGTGACAAAGTGCTACAGCACTGCTGAGCAGTAAACTTGTAATGGAATAGCATACACTGTGAAGAGAGTTATATTCTCTATCCAATTAACATTATAGAAAGTCTGGTATAGTTCTCAGCTGATTGCTCCCTATCATGAGGGTCATGAAAAGGTTTAACTGTATTACACAAAGGAGAGCATTGTGCCTTGTTTTAGAGAGACATGGAAAGTAAAAAAAAAAACAAAAAAAACAACTCTATCACTATTTTTCATTTAATCCTGAATATCAAGTTACAGAGGTGGCACAGTGGATGGGAAATTAGTATTGCTGCCTCACAACTCTTGGGTCCTGCTTTGCATTCCACACTTTCTGCATGAAATTGGTACTGTATGTTCCTCCTGCAGTTCATCTGGTTCTCCATCACTTATATCTTAGTTAGCAGACCTCTCTTATTGTGTGACTGTTAAGTGTGACACAGGCATCCCATCTGTATCCTGCCTGTTGAAAACTGTCTGCTGGATTAGGTTCCAGCTCACCACAAACCTGTACAGAACTAAGTGTTTAACTAAAATGGATGGATGTTATATGTTTGATTAAAATTTCAAATCTGTTTAATATTAAAATAAATACTTTGCTACATCATCGGGTGGATCTGTAGGCGTGTGACCTAGAAAATATATTTTTCCTCAATAAAGGCATAAAAAAGAAATAATTTTAAGAACACAGATTTCATAGGTAACATTTCCAAAAAATGTATTAGGGCATAATCTAACTCATTGTGAAAAAAACAATATGCCTTATTTGACTCTTCAAGTAGATGTTTCTGAACGTACATTAAAATAGGAAGTAACAGAGACGTCACCATTAATCTGGTCAATTAGTAAAATTACCATACCATCTGTATTTATGCTTAAATGATTTCCCAATCAGATGAAGCCATAATAAGAGTATATTTAACTTCTCTAGATATCAACACTTATTTTATAAATTATAGGGACATCTGGAAATCAACACTACAGCTGTTCCAATGCTCAAACCAGTAAAAGGCCAGTTTCTTTTGGAATGGACAATAAACATTTGAAAATTGTTTACATATGTCCTTGCTTTCTGAATATTTTTTAAATATTATTTACAATTTACCCTGTAATAATCTAGTAATATAATTTATTGTTGATGGTCAGCAGAAGGAAAATAAAATCCACTGATACTTTGTACTCATTTTTTCCTGCTATTGCTTTCTTTTAGCACAAGCTTCTATTATTGTACTTAAAAATCTTGTTAGTCCCACAAATTTAAATGAAAAAGAGAATAACATTTTAACCATAATAGTGTACAATACACTTAATAAAATCATTGATGGCCTTTACCCATGCCTGGTCTTTCACAAATGCCCAAGTCTGACACCAGGCTGGTAATTTTATCCACAATTTTATTGTTTATGACTCATCTAGATGGTACAAGCAGTCATTTTTAATACACTGTAGATGCAGTTCAATATTCAACACTTCCTTTTTCATGTATATGAAAACACATTGCGGCTCTTTGACACACATGAGATGGTAGCTTTCATGCATTAAATGTCTGTCTTACTTCATAACACCTTTATTCAAAGCTGCTGTTCATGCTTGATCTGAGGCACAAATTCATATTTCATATTTATAATTCAATAAAAAATGGAAAAGAAATTAGAAAAAAAATGAAAGAAACAGCAAATCACTTTCTCACAGTAACAGGTTTTAAACAGTTAATATTAACTGACGACTATGATGAATACTGCTTTATTAAAAGCTTTGAGACCTTTTTATGAAAATTAAGAAATTCCATTTTATACTAAAGTAATCAGTAACCACCTCAGCAGATTAATTTAGCTCTCATAGGGAGGCTAAGTGTGGCAAAGCTTTATACACATATGGAAAGGTTATTCACTAGATTTGGTCCTAGATATATTTGTTTCTAAGTCAGCTGTCAGAAGATTTTACTGGCATTGTTCACTGTGTTTCTTAAAGTAATTTTCACCTTCACAGAAATAAGAAAATAATCCTTTTAAATACTTACCTATGCAAACAGGAGGACTGGGCTGCCAGTAGTATCTATTTTCCACCTGAATGCAGGTAATTTTCATTTCACCCTGAAGCTCATAGCCAGGGTCACACTGGAATGTGACAGTATCACCGGGCTCTCTCCCATCCCCATTGCGGCTGCCATTCATAGGGATGCCAGGGTCACGACAGGCTGTGGCAACAGAGCCTATTGCAAGAGAAGAGCATAAATAATGCATGTTTCCTTTGCTGAGCAACATTTACTTCTTGAAAAGTCACAAGATCAATGAGACTTTGGGTGCATCACAGGAAAGAGATGACAGGATACCTAAAAATGCTATATATTAGCACACCCATGCAGTATTCGGCTACCTGTTTTTCTAAAGGTATTTTTGCTTGTAAAGATATTTCATCTTTCATATGATATAACAGTTTACAATTTTTAACAAAGATATTTTTAAATCTCAGACACATATGTTGAGTATGATACTTGAACAATACATAACCTGCAGTGCTGCAGTGTTAAATAGTACGCATGCTATAATCTGTGTACTAGGTTTTTGTATTTCATATAAACCCCACTTAGTGTCTATTTTGTTTAATTTTCTAATGACTTACTTGAGAACTCAATAGCAAAACCAGATTTGCTGATGTAGAAGTCTGTTTCAAACTGGATTGTCACAACATTCAGAGTGCTGTGAATGCCCTCAGGGAGCAAGGAGCCACTGACTTCCTTCAGAGACATTTCATTCTCAGGAGGACCATCCCAGACTTTCAAGATGTCATGCGATGCCTCAGTATCAAAAGCAAGAAACTGCAAACTGTAGGGAATTAACTCAGTTAAAAACAACCTTTCACGAATATTGGAGCATCATTCTTATCAAGTAAAGTCTTTGTCCTAATTGCACATTAGGGGCAGTTTTCTTCCAAAAAAAAAACTATTAATAACATAAACATAATGCTCAGATTTGTCATGTTTCATCAAAATGGATTTGTTCCATTATATTATATGCTAATGAACTCCCGAACATTTTACTTTCCTTCATTTTCAGGAAGTAGTTTTAAAACTTTTTTTCACACACTGTACACATCTACAGAAAATAAACACATCATTTTCAAAACTTCTTCTATGTTTTTTTTTCTTGTTGTTATTATCGGTATGAATAGCAGAAAACAACATTTGTAGTGGACATAGCAGTGACATTATTATTGCCATTAATTAAATAAAACCTAAAGGTAAAATCAGAAGTGCACATTGTTAATTTACTATAATACTAGGGAGAAAAACCCATGTGACTAATAACAATAAAAGGAAGAACTATATTTTGAATTAACTATCGACAACCGTACATAATATTAATTTTATTGACCGCATCTGTTGATGCTATAAACCATGAGAGAGGAAAACTCAAGTGGCTTATTTATGTCATAGGAGTTTAGGGAAACAAATTATACAGTAGCTTTATTGTAAACAGGTGTTCATATGCTTTAATCACCAATACATGTTAAATTTCATTTTAAAACTGATTTCATTCGAACAAAGCTCTAAGTCACTGGAGTGAATATATTCACTGTACATTGAAGAGTTATAAAACTTTTAAAACATATGAAGAGTTTCTCACTGTCAAAAGTACAGCACGCATCAGTACATACATTGTTGTACAGTGGAAAACAAAAGCACATTTTGGGTAGCCTACTATCACTAGGTAAATAATAGTTTTATTAAAAAAAACATTAAAAGTACAAAATACATACTCCTCATAAGCTATTATAAATTAACTTTTAGATAACTTTTAAGCATTACAAAATTTCAAATAAATTAAAATACATATACACATGCACATGTCTGTCAATAAGAACCCTTTTAATCTGCTTCAAGAGATTCTGTGGTATTAATGTTATATTAACATTAAATAGAGCTAAGAATTAGTCTACTCAGAATAGAAATTAATATGTAGTAATGGAGTTTCTGTGTCACCAGAATGGCCACACCTGCACCATTTTTGCTCAAGGCTCAAACTCCCTCAATTCAGAAATGATTTAGGTATTTACAGTAACTGCACATTTTCTTGCAAGATCTATGGCACACACCGGTTCAGACATAAATTGTGCAAAAGCTACGTGTCCCTACTTGACATAGTGACAACATCAAAGCTGATCAAATATTTATGCAAATTGCAAACTTCTACTTCTCAAAAACTATTAGGTCAATTAATTTCAAACTTTATCTTGGAGGCAGTGTGATTAAAATACAGTGATGTTCCCTTTCAAACCATTATGGCTTTTGGTTGATTCCAGCACCGTATCCTGAATTTCCAAATTGCTTGTGGATTAATACCGTATAACTCATCAACTACAGTGAAATAATTTCTTATAGGCGTAACTGCACATTGATTCTTATTCTTTTTTAATAATGCTGATATAAGTGTACATACATAGTTAAAGTAGGTAGCTGCGTCAGCATGTGTAGGCTCCAAGGGAACAAGTAAAGGTTTATTCCATGCTGAAAAGAGAAGAAAGGAAACACAACATTTTGGCTGTGGAGCCTTCTTCGGGTGTGAAGAAGCCATTTTCGGTGTCTCACCCGAAAAAGACTCCACAGCCAAAATGTTGTGTTTCCTTTCTTCTCTTTTCAGCATGGAATAAACCTTTAACCTTTAAGTGTAGATAAGACGGTACTACCACAGCTATAAACCGTAAACTGCATGTGGAAGTTTATTTTTGTAAGTGGTCCATTGGTATACATGGATTTAAAGGGATGCATGGTTCTCACTAAACAACTTCAAAGTATTTAAAATCTGAGACAGATTACAAATAGATTAGGAAAACAAATGAATCAGATTATGTTTTAAGAGTCAATTCTTATACATTGTCCTTCTCAGTAAACAACCATTATAAAAAACACTTTCTATTTCATTAAAGGATTGATATCATGTTGACATGGATGTTTGATCAGCTTTCATGGTTTTTATTTTAATATCGATGAGCACTCTAATAAATCTTAAACATTTTTTCAATCCATAACAACCTATATTCCTTACCATGGTATTTCATGATGATCAAACTTGTTTGGAAGCTTTCAAAACTGCTTATAGCTCTAGATTGCTTTTATGATTTGTATCTGCATTTTTAAGGAGGAAGGAATACAACATACCTCACAGTATTCCTTTAAGGAATAAAACATACCTCACAATACCTTTGTAAGGAATAAAACATACCTCACAATATTGCCTGGGTCTACCTCAATGATCCAAGTGCATCTCAAGTTGTTGTCATAGGGAAATGGGTAGCCTGGAGACAAGATTCTTCCAGAAGATTCCCCTTTGAATCTGCCACCACATTCAGCTAAACACAAAAATGCAATATAACCTGTTATACTACTATAAGGATATGCATAGGCTAAAGTCATAGAATATGCAAATGCCACTGAAATAATTTAAAATATAATAACATAATATTGCAAAGTCATATTTTAAAGAGTGCTATATTTAGCATAGTGCAGAACTAAATCTATACATCCGTGACCCAATCTGTACAAAATCTGTACAAACTGTAGTGAATTCACAAACCTGATATTTATGGTAGGTCTGCCATTTTGAAACAGCCTGAAACCAGACCAATGCACATCAAAGCATAAACTTCTGAGCAGTGGAAGAAGTAATGTAATGTGGTCTGATGAGCCGTCTTGTACTCTTTTTCCTAAATTTGGATGGGATTATATTTTAAGAATGCTAAAGGAAGCCTTCAATCCACACTGCCTATTCCAAACTGTTAAACATGTTACTGTATGTCATGGGCAGCCATCTCATGGAAGTCATTGGGAATCATGGCCAAGTATTTTGATTCAAGAGAGGTTTCATGAACATTAGGGATAAAGTCAAACACCTAACATAGCCTATCTAATCTATCTAATCATCTAGCCATTAAAGGAAGTTCTGGAATGCAGAGTGCAGTGTAGATTTCAACCTACTCTATCTCTCAAAGAACTGGAAGTTTTCCTTCTTGAAGAGTGTTCTAATATCACACTAGAAACAGGTCAAAACTCATAACAGCAGTATAACAGCACTCTAAGATGGATTCTGCAGGCAAAGAGCGACCCAGCTCCTTTTCAGTTATTATACAGTATATATAATTATTCTTATATTGCTTGGTGTTTCTATTATTTTGTCCATCCCTTGTAAATGTTATCAAGATAAGCCAGTATCAAATACTGTCAGGGATGACATTTTAGCATATACTTCATACGTATATTTATATGTAATACACGTGTAAAGAACTGCGCTACCTAGCAATACAGCCAAATTTGTAAATGACTTATGACATAGATCAAGTGCTGAATGAGCTGGGCAGCAGGTTATAACAGCTCAGGACTGCAATAAACCCATTCAACCTTAAAACTGCTGTTCATTATTACTCTGCTTCCTAATCATTTTCATTAAATAACTTTAAATGGCCTTCTACAAAATATATGGTTTGGACTTCAGCCAGGAGGTTGCAGCATTTATTAATAATTCTTATACTCAACATCCACATTAATTTTGTTAATTTGCATGAACTATCTAAATGACAAACAATACACAGTTCAATGAAGCTTGAATAACAAAGTTCAGATCTCATTTGATTAATACGAACATTATGATTTGTTCATATGCACAAGAAACTAGCACCCCCTCCCATTCTCCCACATCCTCTCTGCTTGTCCCTCCTAATTTAGGAGAAAAATACTTAATATTTTACATTACTGAATGCTGAAAAAAGCAAATCTAAATGATAGAAGAGGATAATTCTATTTTTAATCTAATAATGCAGTAAATCTCAAGTGAAACAAATAATTTTGGAAGTACAATAAGACACAGCATGAATGGTACATTTTTTTCTTCTGTGCACCCCATACCTGTATACATATTGACTCAGAATGCATATTTCAAGTCTCATCCTCTATGTGATTAATAGGAATAAATTTTGGATAAAAATAGAAAAGAGAAAAATGCTGATTTTGCATGACCTTTGAGCAATCTTATGATATGATACCGTTCTTTAGGAGGTAATATTTTATGCCCTTGGAACTAAGCACAGGATATATACTATACACTTATACCTGCAGAATCAAATAAATCATGGTTAAATAATTTATCTGTAATAAAAAAGCAGAAGTTTACGGCTTCAAGAAAAATCAGTCAGGAAACTATTTCAGAAAGTTAATATCTGAAGACCTGCAACTCCATCTTAGTCCAGACTATGAAGTATTAATTATTAATACTGCGAATATGGTATCAAAACATTTTATTAAAATGACTTTACCTGTGAGATAATTTTTTTAAATGCAAGAATTCCAGAAATACCTTATTTAAACAAATCTTGAATTTAAGCACATTTTGTCTGATATACTGTATAGGTAAGGTTTGATTTTCATCTTAAGAAAAACAAATGTAAGATGTCAATATAAATCTAAAGCAGCAGTAGCAATTTAAGGTTCAGAGAAACACAATAAAACTGACCTGAGGTAGAACAAACAAAAAAGAAAATGAATGCAGTGCATATTCATTTTGTAGAAAAATACTCATCATTTTTTTCATAATTAGAAGTTTAATTCATTAAATGCACTATATCTGATACCTATGAAATATTCAAATCTGATAAATCTGATAAATGTTCAATATCTGATATCTGTACCCCACACACAAACATGATTCGATTTGTTGAAAATCCCTTAGAATTACGCAGCTGCTCTTCACAGCAGGAAATGATGTTATAGAAGTTACTCAATTGTCAAAATAGGAGAAGTACGACTGGCCTAAATAAACAATAATGCTAATGTGGAAACTGCCATTTGTTCCTCAAATTGCAGCTGAATGAACCTGTTATTTGTCAAAATATCCAATTGAAATGGAAATTGCATTGTCTAGTGCTTTCAATTAGGAAAACCAGAAACCATAAAAAAGCTTCAGAACTAACATGCGGGAAGGAAGGTCACCATTATAATAGGGGGCCAATAAAATAACACTTGGCAGAACTTTAACATAAATTACATTTTTAATTAGCTTTTTATTTATGTAGCATTATAAAATTGCATCTGTGCCACCATTTTACGGCTGTTCCATGACAAAGAGAACTGGGTGATTTGTATAAATCACACCTTGCACAGTAAAAAAAAAAGATAAAGACAGAGAGAAGTAGGAAATACAAACACACTTTGAAGGAAAAAAAATGCAAAGTCAAAAAGAAAGGAAATAAAATGACAGATACAGTACTTCTTGATGTTATTAACATTGCACTGAAAATTTACCAAAGCAGAAATGCAACAGAGCTTAATTAAAAACTACAGAAATATGCTCAAAATACACTTTTTAAAACTGTATTTTTACATATTTACACAACAAATGAAGAGTTATTAGTTTTAAACACTTCCACACTAATTCTTGCATCCCTACCAAAACTATAGCATAGCTTTGTAAGAAATCTACTATTTTAAGTGAAAGCTTTCTATTGCATTGATTAGTAAAGCATACCTATATACTGGCAAATAATCTTGACATGCATTAAATGCGTATCTGTCTTGCCCACCTGTCTTAGTGTTAATCATTATGTTAAAACACTGCTTTAATGTCAGCAGAACTGCTAAAAATGACTAAGAACTCATCTTGTTTGAAAAGCTTTCATGCAATGAAAAAATATACAACATTCACATATTTTGCATTCATTACAAAAAAAGCATAAGATAGAATGTTTGACATATAGAGTCTGTAATATTTTAGTATTTAATTCACCAAACCTATTAAAAAATCTTTAACTGTTTTATTCAATACAGGGTTATGGGGGAACAAGAGGTACAAGGCAGAGTACACCCTGGATGGGATACCAGTCAGTCCTAGGGGACACACAAACACATTCACACCAGGGACAAATTTCTCAGAAATTCAAGTAACCTACCAGCATGTTTTTGGGCTGTGAGAGGAAATCAGAGTGCAAAGAGGGAACCGACATAATCAAGGGGAGAACATACAAACTCAATGCAGAGAGCACCCCAGAAATTGAACCTAAGACTCCAGCACTGCATGGCAAGCTATCCTAAACACTGTACCACCGTGCCACTCATGTTGTATTGTAAGCTTTTTAATAATATATAAATAATGTGATATTGTGGCGGTCACTAACCTATACAAGAAGGAAGGGAATAATCCCATGCCCTTCTCTCTCCAGTCATGCATTTTAAGATGCTGCTTCCATGAAGTGTGTATCCTGGGTTGCACCTGTAAGTAATTGTGCTGCCAGCAAAGTGCCCCTGGTCACTGATCTTGTAACCAAACTGAGGCACTCCTGGGTCTTCACAATGTGAGAGCTCAAAACCTGTAAGATAAAGGCCAAGAATGATATCAAAATTCTGTATGCTTTTTTACAGTATGACCTGGAAGTGAAAAATCAGAACCTTACACACTGAGGGCAGCACCTCTACTGATTGTTTTTTATAGAACTTATTTTATCTTTTTTTTTTACCCGCTGCACATAGCACATTTAGATTATTAATTTTGTTTATTGTATATTTTCAAGGGAGAATCACACCCAGTACACATTGCAAAATAAGGTAGTGCTACTACCTTAGCAAGCCTGGAATTTTCACATTCATGAAGTTGGAAAAGAGAAACTCAATATTGTGCCAAATGAAAGTATATTACTAAAGAAAAAGTATTACTGGTCACCATATGTGCAGCAACCATAACTGACAAATGTATACAGTACATTACTTTTCATTAAGGATTTAAATTTAAATTTAAATCCTAAGTAATGAGGAAATAATAGAGCAGAAAATGTGGATGCTAGACTCAAAGTTACAGTGAAATAAGGTACAAGGTCTAGCAAAAAACAATCCCTTAGTAATAAGGGGAAATATTAATTTATTCACTTGTAATTAACTTAAGCTCATGTTGTCTGATATTTCTTGGTTGTTATTGTATGTTGGTTGATCACATAATCAACTTGTAAGTCCCTTTACAAAAATGCATACTAGACAGAAGGTCTTCGAATTATGTTAACTTTTGTTTGTTATTTCATCTAAAAAGTTAACTGATATAAAAAAGGAAAATAAAGTGAAAAGATCTCAGTAATTTGTTTCTTTTCATGATCATCCAAAGCACTAATTTTATTTGTGATTACTGTATGTGCATCATTTTGCTTTGTTTCATGATTGCACTTAAATATCATGATCAAAATAAAGAAAGCTTCAGCTAAAGGGCTGGCTATAGTTACCATTAACATGTTGGCAACCATAAACAAAAATCAAATATAAACTACTTCCAAATGAATTTTGTATATTTTTTTTTATTTTACAGTGCAATATTTTCCATTCACAAGAAATTGAAAACCGTAACATCCATGCCCTAGGAGATCTAAGAGAATCTAAAAGCATGCCAATCAGATAGTTTGTTTTTATTTTTATCTTACACGTTAAAGATTGGTTCATTCTCTTTTTCTTGACTAGTCTTGACTTTGTTTTAAATTAACAGCTATTTTGTTGAATTGTAAAATAAAAGAATCATTTTGCCCATTGCGGAAACTAGTCACAATCCTTTTTTGAGTTTGAGCACCAGCCTACTCTTGTTTGGTAAGAGTTATCGCAGAAGAAATTACATTTGCGACACACTTTTTTTTAAAGGCAGTAAAATACTTCTCCTGGATGCCAGTGGCCATAATGAATCACACTTCACTGCTCTTTTTAAAAGATGTGTTCAGCTAGAACAGACAATTCAGAATGGTGTCCACAAGACGGGTTTGTTAGCACAGGAAAAATCAATTCAATTTAGAAAAATTAACATGCCAAGATCAGTATCACTTTAGACATTTTTAAATATGTTTTCCATCTTTCATACAAAGATTCTTAGCTTACTATTTTGAATTCTTATCAGTCATACTAAAAATTATCTTTAAGTCCTCTGCACCCTGCAGCCAAGGAATGTAACATAACATTAATCTGCAGAGAAAATAAGATCCCAAGTGTATTATTATTAGCTGGAACTTCTGCATACCAATAGCAAGTGTTTTTCTTTTGCCAAACAATAAACATAATTAAGGCAGAATACCAAGTAGGTGAAACTCTATTTTCATTTTGGGGGTCTGATTTTCATCTTGACTTGTTGCATATTTGATCTGCCCTTTCTTTCAGTGAATTGGAATAAGACATAGGTCAACATTACAAAAATAAGGCAAATCCTCTGCCGTTTAAAGATAAATTGCTTTGATATTGTACCTAATTTATTTTTTTTCAAGAATAAGAAAATATTTTACCCTATCATCTAACTAAAAGTAAATATAAGGTTTATTATGCATATTTCAGTAAAATCCTAGTTGCTGAATACATATATAGGAGGTGTCATCTTTATTTATTTTCATATTCCTAGTTCTTCTAGGAGATAAATTGTACTGCCTCCCTCCAGTGACAGTCTCACCTTCTTCTGTCTACTTCTGACCCTTATTATGCATTAATATTGCTAATCCTCTTGGTAAAATGAGCAGTGAATTACTATATTTCAAATTAGATATTCCCTGATTGGCCTTAATGGTTTGACCCCTTGACTGCAGCCCCATCACATGTCCTTCAGTGGTGACTAAAGAAAAAAATACTTGTCAGTTTTTATGTATTTCCAATGCAGTTTTGTTAGGACTTGTCTTACACGAATAATTGTTGTTTCTGTAATTCATTTTGGTGATTGCCGAACAGTATTTTTTTTTACTTAATTGTGATCACATCGCAAAGATAATGGCACCATTAATTTTAAACCATGTTCTGTGGTAATTTCAGTATTAAATGTTGTTGTTATAATGCAGCCATTTATCAATGTTTTCTTTTTGAAAATGACTGAGAACTGATTAAATCTATTGAGTAGTTGTAGAATTAACATACTGTGTAACAATATAGCCAAAATGCCGAAGGCATGCATTAATGATACTTACTGGAATAGACCAGCTTAAAGCCTTCTCCTGTTGATTCAGAATCTGAGAAAAACTCCAACCACAGGTGATTGGATGTACTTATTAATGTTAGACCAAGCATGGCTGAACCAGTGAAGGCTCCTAACACATGTGCTGTATTATCTTTCCCATCATATATCTGCAAAAAAGAATAAATTTAAAGTTAAAACCTATTGCACTACGGAAAATGTATTGTTATTAGTCTGGTTTCTAATAAAACAATAACAAAATGGTTATAACAAAAATCATACTTAAAATGTATTATTTGACCTGAGTCGATTTGAATATACAGTACATGATTACAAACATATTATGTTCAATGTTAATATAAAGTACCTTTAAAGTGTTTTTTTTTAAATTACAGAAGACATAGTAAATATCATAGTAAAATGAAAAAAAAAACTTTCATAAATTCCAACTGTAAACTGCCAGTTTTGAAAAATGCACTGGTAGCAGTACAAGTAGACTCCATATCAATTGTTTGTTTTTCCTGGGTTTGGCTATTCAATTTTCAAGGTGCTTACTTTTAGAATATCGCCTTGTGCCAAATGAAAGGTCCTTGCAGAGACGTTGATTCCTTTCCCTGCTTGCACTTGGATACTGTAGATGCATTCATGATTGTTTTCGTAGTTCAGAGGGTAGTTGGGTGACAGGAGAATGCCTTCGTTGTTGATTACTGATGACCCACATTCAGCTAGACATGGAAGAACATAGAGGGAGTTGGAACACAAATAAGGAAATAACAAAACAAATATGGTATATATAAAACGCCATAAAGTTTGCTCTAATATTGTCTTTTATGCAAAAATATTGATAGTATATGCTAAATTAATCAAATATTCTGTTAGTGCTATGTTAGTATGGTTTTGTACAAACAGATAAACTTACACATTACTATCAGTGGATCAGCGACAATCAGATTTTAATAGAGAACAACAATTAAAGGTCAACCTTGGAATTATGTTAGAATGATTAATAGATCACGTTTTTTTTTAGTATGTTGCTATTTTATTTGCATTTGTTTCTACATACATTATTGAAGGATATTCTATCGCTATGGCACTTAATTCTGGAATGCCCAGCTTCATGTCCAGGAAAATTGCTCTCTAAGGGTACTAGAGGGTGTGTATACACAACAGCAATTTTCTATGAGCTTTAAGAGAAAATCAATTGAATAAAGTGTTAGCAATCTTCCACATTTTGTTACATGAAAAGTCTTTCTTAAAAGAAATAGTGATAAGTGCTTTAAAAAACAATCGGTGCAACTATACTATACTGTATGTAATGGTTGTATGGCACATATATAAAATTCCTGCTGTGCTCACAAGTGCATAAAAGATACACTAATGACACCACAGTAGATTTTGAGTGTTTAAAATGCAGTGTTAAGCAATAAAATGTTAATATAGTCTTATTTTACTGATGGTGATGATTGGATCATAAATGTGACTATATTTGAGTCTCCAGGGCTGCAGTTGCACAGAGTAATTTCAAACAATTTTATGATCTGGGTTGTTGTTGTAGCATTATATTGTGACACAAAACACAGACCCTTCCACCTATTTTGATAAAAGATTCTTAGTGCTGTTATGACAAGAAATAAAGAAAAGGATATGAATCAGTATCTCAACATAATGCATTTTCAAAGCCAAAGAAGGTATAACACTGTAAATATATTCTTCTTCTGCATTCTTCCTGGCAATAAACTGGAATTATCAGATTTTTTTTTGCAATATGCAGTCAACAAGACAAATGCTATATTGAACTAGAAAACCCAGATTATGTGTTCTACTCTACAATTGCCAGTAATGAAAATGCAAGTGCCATACTGTTTCATGGAAGCAGATGAGAAGTATTATTACCAAGGTAATCCTGTATCATTTTTATTCAAATCCAAAGAAAAATAAAGTTTGCTTTCAAAAAGAGACCTGCTGTAAATCAATATTGTCCACCCTAAAGTAGGAATTTAATTGTTGCCAAAGCTCAATTCTTCTTCTCATTGAAGGATTTTATAACCTCTTTATATCTTTAAAAATCTCAAGTGGCATTAATTTGTACTATATTCCTGCCTATTTACTTTAAGCCACATTTCAGAGTCTGGTATGGAAATGACATTGAACAATAAAAATAAAAAGATAAAGTTAATGGACAGTAGACACTAGCTGGAGGTAATATTAGTAACATTTATGTTGTCTACTATAGAGCAGCAAACACATAAAGCCAGCAGCAATTGTGATTTATTTAAAGCTCTTCAATATATTACAGAACTAGATGTTATAACAATAATATGTCATATTTTAAATAAATCACAAAAGTTACTACTGTTATTTAGTAAATTACCTCTATGCCTCACTCCATGTCATGTCAAGCATGTCATCATGCTCCAAATTCATAGTGCATTCAAAGTGCATAGGCATTTTAATGCTAACCATTCTTATGGATATTTTCTCAATAGCAGGACATTTGTAATCTCAGAGTCCAGAATTATTTTTAATTCATCCAGCATGATCAGGGTAACATCAAATGGTCTCAAAAGAACCAATGGAGCATTGATTCAATAATTTATGTATTTTACAGTGACATTTCTTGTTGATGTTTTGTTTGACTTGTGCTCTGGGAATTTAGAACCCAATAATATTCAATCACCTGGGAAATGTTTAGATTGTTCAGAGCAGTCTTTCATTGCTACCCTTAGTGTATGCTTGTCTGAAGCAATTTGCTTCCACTTCAAAAAACTGAAGAAAGCTGGTCCCCAAACTGGCACATAAAAACTGATGCCACTAGATCTGAGATGAATGAGCTCTGCATCACCATTAAACTTTTCTGATATCATCCTTGTTGGTAAGAGACAAGTGAGAGTTAATTTGCATTGAAGCCTTTGTTATGAAAAGACCAGAAGGGACTAAAAATATCTTAAACTGTCCTCTGATTTTAACATTCAAACAAAAAGACAAGAAATCTGGATGGTCTTCAAAACAGAATTGTATCAAAGACCACGGAAACAAAAAGTAACATAATTCACGAGCATATGTCAAAAAAGCCAAACTCCCATTAAACCAAAAATGTTTGCCAGAGTCTTTTTGGACAATCTTGGAAGAAAATCTAAAAGTCTCTTTTATCATTTGTCACACTGTCAATTCAGATGCAATTTATACTTGAACATCTGTTGTGGTGCTTTCGTCTGGGAATATTACATTGTATAACTTGGAACTTGAACATCCCTCTTAAATGTAAAACTCTTAAAATATTTCCACACAGGGTTTGAATCTAACACTTTTATAAGGTTGTGAATTGTACTACATTCTATGTCTGAGACAACATATCTGCTTATTCCTTATTGGCTAAATATTTCAATCAGCACTTTCCTTTATAACAGTAAATACAGTACAATTACAGCAGCTCATACTGTTGTTATTCAGAAAACACAATATTTGACAAGGAGTACTATAATACCTACTGTTACATTTTATTGTTGCTTCCCTATTTAAGCTTTGTTCAATTTATAATGTCTTAATTGGCTCTTGATTTAAACATTGTTTGCATCTTTGTTTACTGTTTGAACAAATGGAATTGTCATCTTGTGTGTTTTTCTGTCTTTCTCCAAAAACGAAAGAGAGCAAAGCGATGCTGTGAATATAAACAATGTTGACAAGTATTTTGTGCTTTTACAAAACAAAGTGAAACATTGTGATTAGGTTTTTTGTCTTGATTTTTGATTGAGAATGAGTTACTTAACCCACTAGACTTTGGAAGATAAAATGAGATGACCTTTTCTCCTAGGATTTCTCCCTTACATTGTCCATGTACATTTTCAATATACTAATTTCATATCACAAATATTTTTTTACCCCTGATTGCGACTATGTTAACATAAAGTTTGATGCCAGATGATAATAATGGTCTGCTACCATTATTATGCAAATTGTCTTGACTGTTTCATAATATGGATTACTTCTACTGATTGTATTTTTGTTTTATTAAGTCTTGTCTTTGTTTTATTAAGTCTACTTAATTTCTTCACAATTAACTTGTTTTAAAATAAAATAACCTATTATTTTACAAATACTAATAAGTATGTCTAATAAATTATGTCATTGTCTGTAGTAACATAGGTGTGTTATACTAAGTGTGATATAATATATTGAATATCTTTAAAAAAACATGTATTGTGATTGCTTCTTTACAGATGATCTACAGTACAGTACATGCTGAGCACAAATTATACCTTATTGTATTCATGACGATTTGCATTTGGATTCAACTCGTTGTGGTCATTACAAAATTTAAAATTAATTAAGTTAGATATTTGAACAGGCAAATATAGTTTATAATATAGTTTCCCTCTAAAAAACTGAAGTGATGCTAGACCTGTTTGCAATCAACTATTATTTTCCTTTTATTAAGCACTTATTATACTGAGAAACAGCTCCTAGACTTTTATTAAATTACAACTACGTGCGACAAGAATTTTGTCTTTGGGAGAAAAGCTTGTTTCATTTTTAATGATTACAGTAATCAGAACTTTTTAGTAGGAAGCAAATTTTAAATAACTCATTAAATACAGTGACATATATAAAAGGTAGGAATAATAAGCAACAATTTCCTTTGAAATGATTCTCATGTTGAGTAAATAGTTATTGTTTAAGTAATTATGTACTGATTGGGGAGCATCATTAGACACAAGTTAGCCTCTTAAACCATTTGATATCAAACTGATTGCCATTATGCACACTGCTAACCATTTCAAATCAGAATGTTTGCATTGCTTTGCACTCCTAACTGTAAACCATTTGTAGAGAGCAGAGATTAATTGCAAACCAACAGAGAGGCACAACTCAAGCTTTTTCATCTCTCCTGCAATGTTAGAATTACATCCAAATTTGGAATTTCTAAACACTTTTAAATGTTATTTGACACCAGTTTATGACACTCATCTGGGACAACAGCAGATGTATTTGGAGGCTTTCTATGATAGGTCTCCTCACATCTATCACACTATAGAGATACATTATAACTTTTGTAGACTGGAGTGAAAAATACTTCTTCCCCAAAAATATGTAGTCTTATAGGCAGTGATAGAATCGAAACTGATGCAAAATAAAACACCAAAGAGTGATTCATTTAAGTCCTTTCAAACAGTTGCAGTCCCATCTGGAATATTCAGCATCATCTGCATGGACAATTCCCATCAAACTAATGTGACTCCCAATGGACAACAACAAACACACTCAAGTACTGTACTTATTTACCTATTTCCCCAAGTTAGAATTACACATAGAGAATCAATTCAGTGTTCATCATGACTATTTGTCTGAAAGCAATGAGGATAGTTGTCATTTTATACACTATGAATACTACAACACCCACAGCAGAGTCAGCATCAAATGGAGTTGTAATGTGACTCACACTAAGCTCATACTCGGAAGCTCACAGGAAGCTCCCAAGGGTTTTGGTTGAGTGAGAACTCAAGCATGCCGTCGCCAGCTCAGTCTCACTCAGCCATGACAGCACTTATCATTCAGGGACAAAGGTGGATAATGAACCTTTTTCAAGGAAATAGTAGTAATGTTCATATAGCCCATATGGTCAGGATCTGTATATGAATACTCATAAACAGGCATGCATCTAAACATGAAATATACTCAAATAAGAGATGTAAAATTCACTAATACAAGAGACTGGTTTTCTGGTATG